GTAAAACCACCGTGGATTAGTTTCTTTTTCTGGAACATTTCACTGAGGTGCTTTCCCCCTAAATGGCTGGATTGCTTTCTTCCTAGAGACAGATTTGGATGTGGGTACGAGTGGTGACAGCTGCTCTTTCCTAAGAACAAGGCACGGGGTTTCCCTCAGGACACGTTTGCCCTGGGGACGGGTGAGGATGGACTGGTGGGGTAGGCAGCGAGGCCCGGGACTTACCTCCATCCTGTCACCCTCTTGTCAGCTGGGAGCTGGCAGCCACACCTGGGCTGGCTGGGCAGGCCCCTCAGGCAGTTGGATGGCTTGGAAATGGCAGCTGTGCAGAGGAGAGGACGAGGACACGGCCCCTGGGCCCGGGCTTTGAAGCCAGCTGCCCTGGTCCTTAGGAGCTTCTCTGGGTTGCCCGTGCACCTTCCTCCTCAGCCTGTGTCTTCCACCCCAGACCGTCACTCACTGGTGTGTGCTGTGGACACAGAGAGTAACCTCGACTATGTTTTCTCCACGATCTGCAAAATGAAGATAACAATATCCTCCCTGTGGGGATTGGATGGGATAACGGATGAAAAGTATTTCAAACAGTGCTGGGCATGAAGTCAGTGCCACCTGCGGTTGTCATTTGGGAGCCTGGAGTCATGGGGCTGAGGAGCGAGGGCTCTGGATCCAGGCTGCCTGGGCTCTGCTCCCATCTCAGCTAACTGTGCGAGTCTGAGTCCACTACCTCCCTTCCCTGGGCCTCAGTTTCTCACCTGTCGATGGGGACGATAGTGCTGCACCCACCTGTGGGGTTGGTGTGAAGGTTAAATGAATGCCTGGGACATCCATGTCAGTTGCAGTCGTGGGGGTGGGTCGTGGACTGTGAACCCTGAAACCCCCTTCTCGGGTGCTCATTGAGTCTTGTCAGCCACTGTCCGTGGCTGCTCAGTCCTGCAGGGATAATTTCCCCACAGTAGTTAAGGGTGAGTCCAGAAGGGGCACCAGGCGCGTCCAAAGGAAGCCTCGCTTCTCAGCGATTCGCTACGTCGGCGAGTCAGCCCCCACAGTCACGTTCACAAAGTGGGTGGCTGCTGTGAGCTCCTGTGGCTCCACCAGGGACCTCGGAGGGTTAGGCCAGGCCTCGGGTGGAGACACGGACAGGGACGGGTGTAAAACCACCGTGGATTAGTTTCTTTTTCTGGAACATTTCACTGAGGTGCTTTCCCCCTAGATGGCTGGATTGCTTTCTTCCTAGAGACAGATTTGGATGTGGGTACGAGTGGTGGCAGCTGCTCTTTCCTAAGAACAAGGCACGGGGTTTCCCTCAGGACACGTTTGCCCTGGGGACGGGTGAGGACGGACTGGTGGGGTAGGCAGCGAGGCCCGGGACTTACCTCCATCCTGTCACCCTCTTGTCAGCTGGGAGCTGGCAGCCACACCTGGGCTGGCTGGACAGGCCCCTCAGGCAGTTGGATGGCTTGGAAATGGCAGCTGTGCAGAGGAGAGGACGAGGACACGGCCCCTGGGCCCGGGCTTTGAAGCCAGCTGCCCTGGTCCTTAGGAGCTTCTCTGGGTTGCCCGTGCACCTTCCTCCTCAGCCTGTGTCTTCCACTCTTCTCGGGGCTCTGGTTGGCGGAGGTGACAAAGCCAGACTGGGGAGAGAGAGGGTGTCCTCAGGGTCCAGAGCTAGGGCTGGGTTAGTGGGGGCTCAAGTGCTTGATGCTGGAGCCAGACAAGGAGGTGACAAAGCCAGACTGGGGAGAGAGAGGGTGTCTTCAGGGTCCAGAGCTAGGGCTGGGTTAGTGGGGGCTCAAGTGCTTGATGCTGGAGCCAGACACTTAGGGTCCAGAGCTAGGGCTGGGTTAGTGGGGGCTCAAGTGCTTGATGCTGGAGCCAGACAGCCTGGCCTCGGGGGTCAGTTCCACCTCCTACTCTCTGGAACTCAGAGGTCTCATCTGTGACAGGGGGATGCTACCAGGACCTACCTTGTAGAGTTGTGTCGAGTAGCTAACCCAAGCCAAGAGCTGAGAACAGTGCCCAGCACCGCGTGAAGGCTGTGTAATGCAAGTTTTTTTATTCCTGTCCTCCCCAGGCACCACTGGGAAGGCTCCCTCCCCGCCACCCCTCCTCAGTGACCGGCAGGTAAACGAGAAGGTGGAGAACCTCTCCATTCAGCTGCGGCTGGTGACCCGAGAGAGGAATGAGCTTCGCAAGCGCCTGGCCTTTGCCACTCATGGGACGACGCTTCACGAAAGGTGGGAATTGTGCCCAGCTCCCTTTCCCGGGCCCCATGGGCAGGTGCTACTATCCTACGCCAGTGCCGATACCCCCAGGCTCCTGGGGGTCCAGGCTGCAATGCCTGAAGTCCTCTTGCTCCTACCTCATGTCCAGAAATGCACACCCCAGAGGCAGTGCTGCAGGTCTAGGAATTCTACTTGGAGAAACACTGCTCAGGGCCCACATTCTCAACCGTGGCTGCACATTAAACTCCCTTGGGGACTTTTCTAAAGCTCCTCATATCTGGTTCACACCCTCAGAGACGCTGAGGTAATTGGTCTGAGCGGTGGTATGGTAATTGGTACCCAGTATTGAGAATCACTGTTCAAAGGAGAGGAGGAACATCATCACAGGATTCTGGTTGACCCAGGCTTGTCTCAGGGACTCCTGGAAGCTCGTAGAGTATAAGGCATCACCTTCTCAGCAGTCTAGGCCTAATTGGGGAGCTCAGGCAACCAAGGCTCCCTCCAACCTGGGGATTCTGATTCTGCTGGTCTGCATGAAGCCAGCCTGTCTGAGTTTACCAAGCCCCCAGGTGGGTGTGGTGTCTAGGAGACCAGTATTTAGGAACCACTGGGCTGGGGGAATCTGGGCCGTGGCTCCCCCATCTGTATAAATCTTGGGCCTGTGTTCATGGGGCTGTTTGGTGTCTGGGCCAGGCCCTTCCACAGGCTGACTCCTGACTATGAGAGGCTGAAGATCCAGTGTGTGCGGGCCATGTCGGACCTGCAGAGCCTGCAGAAGGAGCACACCAATGCCTTGAAGAGGTGCGAGGAGGTGGCCAAGGAGACTGACTTCTACCAGTGAGTGCAGCCTGCCTGGCCAGGGCTCCCAACACACAAGAACGGCCTCCTTTGCCCTTCTTCACCTCTGGACTCAAGCAGGGGCTCTGGCCTAGTTCTGCCTCTGCCACTTAGCAAGCAGTGGGCCTTCAGCAAGTGGATTTGCATCATTGGGGCTCAGTTTTCCTAAGTGCAAAATGAGGCTATTGATCCTTCACATCATGTTGTTGCCAGCTTCAGAAGGCAGCTAGATAGGAAAGTGATTTGAAACACGGGGCAATAGTCCAGGCAGAGCCCTGGGTCTCTGGGTGTCTGTGTTCCTGTGGCACAGGCAACAGGTATGTTCTCCCTTGTTCTCCTGGTGCCCTCTGAGGGTATTTGCCTGCCCACCTCCTGACATTTGCCCAGGTCCCCATAGGTGGAGGTACCACGTCTACAACAGGTAGGGGCTTGTCTCCTTTCCTTGGAGAGACATGTTCCCTTTTTGGTGTCCGGTTTTTAGAAAGTGATTTGGGTCTTTCTGAAATGTGGCTGGTGGCAGGCCCTTGGAGGCCTGCATGGAAGTAGTGTGGGCCTTGCTGCTGTTGGCTCCTGTCTGGTGTGAAAATTGTGGGAGTGTTAGAATGTGGAGGGGCTGGCGGTGCATTGGGGTGGGGTGTCAGGGGCTGGCAGAGGCTCATTGAGTATGTGTGGGGGGCATTCCAGCACACTCCATAGCCGGCTCCTGAGTGACCAGACTCAGCTGAAGGATGACGTGGACATGCTGAGACGGGAGAATGGCCAGTTGCTGCGGGAGCGCAACCTGCTGCAGCAGTCGTGGGAGGACATGAAGCGGCTCCGCGAGGAGGACCAGAAGGAGATTGGTGACCTCCGCGCCCAGCAGCAGCAGGTAGGGCCTGGTGGCTGGGAGCAGACCAAAGCCAGTCTTTCCTCCACCCCCAACCCATTCATTCGTTTGTCCATTCACGTGATCACTTACCACGTATTCTGGGACCTGTGATTTGTGTGTGACACAGGATAACTGAAAAAGCACTTAACTCTCCTGGGAGCTACAGTCCATCAAAGGAGAGAGATGTTAACCAAGTAACCCCACACATCATGCGTCATGATGAATTTTGCCGGGGCTACAAGGAGGAGGTACCACAGGGTGCGGTATGCAGTGTCTTAACAGAGGAAATTGACTTAGCCTGGGGTTTGGGGTCTGTAGCTCATTTCCTCTGTGTGGATCATGTGAGAGTACGGATGGAAAGAAGCTGGGAAACATTAAAGCCTGTGCAGATCTTTTTTTTGTGAGGGGGGAGCGTGGCCTCTTGTTCTTGCTGCTCTCTGCATTCCAAGTTAGTTTCTTTGCTTTGTTCAACTCTTGCTTCACTTTGAGAACGGCGCGAGTAGCAGGCCATTCAGAACACTGGCTTGCTGTGAGTGATGCTGGGTACGTTCTTCTCTTGTCGTTTAATGGCTGACACAGTTCATCCTCCTGCTCAGGGGTATGGAAAATGCTGAGGACATGTTCTGTGTCAGTAGCTGATTGGATCTTCGGGTTTGGAAGACATTTCCAAGGAGAGGCAGCGTATCCTGCAAGCACTGCAGCATAGGTCTGACCAAGGAGAGAACCAGAGCCCCATCAGAAATCACTGGTGGTCCTCCAGTCCAAACAGGACTGTTGAGGCTTGCTCGAATTACAGCTGGTGTGGAACAGTCCGAACTCATCTGTTAATTTAGTATACCATCATCCTCATTGCTTTCTTTCCATTTATAATTAAAGAAAATTTTAATTGTGAAATACGACAAACTTATAGAATTTTTGTAAGTACGGGTCAAAGAGTTTTTCCCCTGTATCATTCAAGAGTAAGTTGCCAACTATATTCTCCTTCAGCCCCAGGTGCAGTAGTATGTATTTCTTACAAACAAGGATGTTCTCCTGTGCAACAGAAATACAAACATCACCATCAGGAAACTCTTGGTACGTGGTTACAACCTGATCATTAGCCCCATAGAGTTTTGTCCATCTCAGGAATGTCTTTAATTGCAAAAGAATCAGTTCAGAGTCCAGCATTGCATTAGTTGTCATGTCTCTATGGTCTCTTTCACTTGGGAACAGTTCTTTAGGCTTTCCGTGACCTTCAGGACCTTGATGCTTTTGAAGATTGCAGGGTAGTTATGTTTGTAGGATGTCCCTTAACTTGGATTGTTCTGATCCTCATGGTTTGATTCACTTTATGCGTCTTTGGTGGGAATATCAGAGAAGTGATGCTGTGTTCTCATTGCAACCTATAAATTGGGATGTGGTTCGATTTGACTCCTTACCAATGGTGTTCACTTTGATTTCTTGACTAAGACGGTGTCTGCAGGCTTCTCCACTGTAGAGTTACTTGTTTTCCTTTTGTCTGTCTGTCTGTGTATCTCTCTATTTCTATATGGTCTCTTGGTTTCCTGTTTTATTCAGTGGGTTATAACCCATTATGGCCCATGGATCCCCTTCAAGCTAGCTTGTTCGTCTTTTTGATATGCCTCCCCTTATTCTTTGAGCACTTCCTTGCTCTCTGGCATGTCAGAATGTCCCAGGCTCATTTGGTCATTTGCCTGCCCATACTGAGTTCCGGGTGTATTTGTAACTATCGGGGTATCTCTGATCCCAACTCCTCTCAGTGGACAGAAGTAGGGACTATCTGAGCACACACACACATTTCTATCTATATTTCTGTATTTCCCTATTACAAACAGTTTTTCCGTGGACACACATATATCTATATGCTCTTTTGTACATATATATGCATTTTTTTTTCTTTTGCGGCTGACCCGTACAGTGATCAAACCCTGGACTTTGGTGTTATCAGCACCACACTGTGACCACCTGAGCTAATCAACGATCCCTGTACATATACATACATATTTTTAAGTTTGATTCTTGGAGGTAAATTTGCTGCGGTAAAGGCATGAGACACATTTTCTTTTTCATAGGTTCTGCGAACATACTTGGGAAACTTATAAGGCCCCAAGAGTCTTCTCTCTCCTCCTTCTTGCCCTCTCCCCTGTCTTTAAAATATACTTCTTTGGTAATTCATGAAGACTTTCCTTTCCCAGCTATTCCAGGTGAATGCCCCTTCTTAGGCCTGGAGGAAGGAAGGAAGTTGAGGAGCGTCTTGGTCCCAGAAGGACGCCCTGTACAGAACAGCCCAGAGAGGAGGGAGTTTCTGAGCAGTGTGGAGAACAGAGCCTGTTCTCTTGTTGGCCTCCCTGCAGGGAGTGCTCACACGGAGCATGTCTTTGTGCCTCCTCTGTGCTCCTTCCACCCCTGCCCACAGGCCCGTTCCTCACAGGCCAACTGTCCCATGCATAGGCCGGAGAGAAGGCATCTCTAAAGACTGCTGCATGCCTGAGAGGAGTTTACTAGCTTTCATTTTCGAATTCTGGGCCAAATTTAAGCGTTCTTTTTATTCCATTAACCTTTGCTGGGAAGCTAAACATTTGATTGCAGTTTATGTGTATGTCTCTATGTGTATATGTGTGCATGCATGTGGAAATATCTACTAAGTGTGTACTCTTCTTTTGTTGAAAAGGAAAAATTCTAGTCTAATAGATGGAATCGTTTTTCAACTTCTCTGGAGTTAACTGTGGCCAGTTTCTTCAAAGCCTGTTGATTACACAGTGCAGGCACGATCTGAGCCCTGCTTGTAGAGAAAAGTTGAAAAGTGTTTGGGGGCCTGGGGCCCCTTTAAACACCTGGGTGCTGTCCTGTGGGAAAAGGATTGAGGCTAGAGTGAGAACCAGAGGGGAGGAGTTGCAGGGAGGTGGAGTTTAGGTCACAGTGAGCAAGACATTCTTACACAGAGTGTCCACCTGTGGAGTCAGCTGAGCCATGGAGCCTTTAAACACCTGGGTGCTGTCCTGTGGGAAAAGGATTGAGGCTAGAATGAGAACGAGAGGGGAGGAGTTGCAGGGAGGTGGAGTTTAGTTCACAGTGAGCAAGACATTCTTACACAGAGTGTCCACCTGTGGAGTCAGCTGAGCCATGGAGAAATTCTACTGAAAGCAGTACAGGGCCAGATCTCTCTTTTTGGGGTCTCTTCTGACCCTAGCATCCCAGCATGGTATCAAAGATGGGCTGAGCATCAGAAAGGATCCCTGAGTCAGCTCGGGGATGTCGCCAGACTATTCCTGTCTCACCAGCACGT